CTCTCTCTCTCTCTCTCTCTCTCTCTCTCTCCGTCCCCCTCATTCCTCCTCCGCTCACCAGTACACAAATGTCAACTTGTGGTGGGAAAAATCCTGAAAACATATCCGGACAACCGAATATTTCTCAATGAAACATTGTCCGAATTCAGACTCTTAAACTCTCTACCCTAACCCATTTGCTGAAGTTGGTGCCCCCATTTGTTGAGTGGTTCTAACCCATTTGCCTAAGCGGTTCATAACACATTTAATTGCCGAAGAGGTGCACTAACACATTATCCGGATTTTGCTAAAGCGACTTGTTGCCCAACCCTAATACCAACTAGTACGCAGACAATGTGTTTAACAAGTTTTTGAGGGTCTGAATGCGGAAGTCCGTTTATCTGCCAGAAATGTAATACGCGGCAGAAGATATTCGGAGACATCTCCGGCGAGAAACCAGGAACTATTCGGAGACGCGGGGGGGGGGGGGTCCAAACTGCTTATTATTTTTGTTTCAGATCACACCTATAGCCTCTAAAACTGTCGCAAATCAATTATTTTCAAGAAAATTTCCAACTTAACTACACCGTATCAAATTATGGGTTAAAACAGAGGACATGCCCCCCCCCTCCCCTGTAACCTCCCACATTTTGTTACTTTGTCTAGAGGCACAAAGCGATTTGATTGGTCTATCTCCGTCGGAGACGTCTCCGGATAGATACTGCGGGGATACGCAGTCTCGTTTTTTCTTAGTATTGCTCATCACAGTCTCGCCCAAACTGGGAAGAATGAATGATAAACTTTCAAGACTGGATTTACGAATGCTAATGAGAAAGAAGCCCCCAGGTCAATGAGAATGTTATTGTCTCTGACCATTTATCACTTTTTGTTGCAGGTCTCTGTTGCATGTATCTTTAGTTTATTGACCGCAGACTTCTTCTTCTTTCCTATCAAACATCTATCGTCCTTATCTGCCATTCTTCTTTTTTATGTTTGTCTCTAATCTTCTGGCGCTCATATGACCTTATGCAGTTGCGAGCGCCGTAAAACCTCTACTAAAACAAACAAACTATCCTTCTTTTTTATGTTTGTTACTCTCTTGTGTAACCTCTAATATTCTGGCACTCATATGACTTCATGCACTTGCGTACGCCGTAAAACCTCTACTAAAAGTTTTAAAAAAATGACCGGCAGAAAGGCGTGGGTGAAGTGTTTGGAATGAGTTTACTTGGCCTGTGCCCATGATCTTGACCCGCCAAGTGGGTGCAGTCTGGCTTTAGATTTGAAAAGTTGGCTGCTATGCTCGTATATTTACCTTGGTGGGTGTAAGTTGTAATCACTCTTTGGCGCGATCACCCCGATGTATCGCTCCC